TTCGAATTTAATTTTGAAAAGTTATAGATTTTTGAGTTTTCAAAACCATTTTAAATTAGGACATGGTTTTATTATAATTCAATTCATTATAGGTGTTAATACGATAGGAATTCTTTGATAATAGTTTCATGCTCGGATAATAATTTATTTAAATTATTTTGCTGAAAATTGGGGTTTACTACTATGGTTACATGATGAATCTTTTTCTTTTAGAAATATATATTTATTTAAAAAAAAACTCAAACTTATATACTTATTATAGCCTAAAATTTGAAATAATCAAATCAATTTATTTAATATCAAACTTAACAAAATTAATCTTATCTGAATTTAAAAAAATTAAAAATTTCATATTTAATCTAAATTAATCGAATTATAATTACTTTCTCGGTGGTAGGTAAAAGTTAAGGCCTTAAAACTTTTATGAGTCATAGTTCAATTATTTTTTTTAGAAGTAGATTACTTGTAGGGTATATCATATTCAAATTATTCATTAATAATGGAAGGCGTAGCATTGATTAAAATTTGCAGCTATATATAAATTATTAAATTTTTGGTACATGGTGTACATATTATACGATATATACTATATACTATATATTTGATAACTAGAATATCACATACTCCACACATTCCCTTTGATTCTTTAAATTTATATATTATTATTTTGCGGTCATATTTAAACTGTGTATCTATCAAAAATATTTTTTTCTCTTACAGTGTAGGCATAAAATTTATATAGATATATAATCTATTTTTTTCAGATTTTATTTATGAAATTATATCACTTGTATTATTATTATTATTATTATTATTATTATTTCAAGCTTATGATTTTAACAAGATAAATGAAACATTAAATAAAGTCTTTGAAATATAATACTTAAAGCTTAAATTTTGAAAGTGAAGGTAAAAATTTATTAAAGATTATTAAGAATTTTTGTTCTTAATAAGAGGTTAGGTAAAAATGTTTTCAAGAAAAAGTGTAGTAATAAATTTTATAATTAATTCAAAGACCTTTTAATTCCACTCCGCATTTATTACGGTGTTATATAGGTTGGTTCGATTTAATTTTATGTATCATTAATTTTTTATTTTTAAATACGCCAAATCAATAAAGTATTGATTTTCGATTTATCGATTCTTGGTCATTAATGGTTCAGTTTTTCGGTTTATAAAAAAATATTAATTAAAAATTATTATTTTTCACTTCTCTTACAATTTGGCGTGATACTGTAAGACAACCAAACCACTTGTAAATGATAGTGAAACAAGAAGTATAATGAAAAATTGTATCAATAAGAGTAGATGCAGTATACGAAGGCTATAATTACATGTTACAACCAAACGCATGATATGAAATTTCCAACGTGAAATAGAAATATTGTGCCTCGTGAAGTGTGTTGATCGTGATTTAGAGTGCTGATACAGTGTCTAGTTATGTTAAGTTATTAATATTTAATATTTATGAAGGGTATAATAATATATTATTATCGTCTTAATGGCTTATCTCTTTACCTAATAACCTAATAATTTTTTTTCATGAAATTATTAAACGCCCATTAACCTAATAACTAAATAACTTTTTTTCGATTTAATTTATTTATCGATTTAATTTTTATACATCCTGCATAAATAGTCGAATTGTTATTTCCTTTCTTTGCAAGAGTACCATGGTTTTTTTAATTTTCTTTTTATAGTAAAGTATATAATGATCAAAATGAAAGAATTCTAGGAAGATTCCTTCTTGTTAAAACTTAGGAGTACGTATTAATATTCTTATAGGACAATAGGTTCTACAACCCTTTTTACAAATAGTATCATTATAATCGAATAATAATAGATCGCTAAATAATTTTTTGTATTTGATACAGATATTACGTTCGATTATTTGAATATTATTAAATATGAGAGTAATTTTTATTCGAAAATATTTATTTATATATGCATGACTTTTCGACAAATTCAAATTGTAAAACTTAAATTAATTCAAACTTCACTCAAATCTGATTCCCTATAAATATTTTAAAATCTATGATCAAATATTAACTTAGTTTTTAAAAGTTACACCTTTGAACTCTACAAACTTTGTCCTACAAACAATTAAATCTAATGAATTATGTGGACTATTGTTGTTTGGTCCGGAGGGCGATATTGAATTTAAAGTTTATGCACTTAGTGTTCTAGTTATTTTCAAGTTATTATATTCTAATTAATAATATATGTATATATTTAATAATTTTTTAAATATAAATACAAGATTTGAATTAACACTATCAAATTCTGTTGAAAGGAAAAATTTTCAAACATATACTAGTTTTCTGAATTCGTAAATTATATTTTAGCTTCACCCTTAGCTGATTTAACTATCTTTATTATTACATTCATATATCACTCAGTAGAGGAGTCAGGATTTTCAATAAGCGGTTCAAATTTGTAGAAATAGATATATGGAGTAGTTGAAGGGGGTTCGACATCTACTATATAAAATATTATTTAATCATGTATAAATAGTATAATTTTCTATCGAAGGAGGTTAGGATGAACCATGCGGATGACCAAGGTGGCTCCGCCCCTAATATCACTTGTATATAAATATGTATAAATTCAAAATTTAATCATATATAACTCTTTAACTAAAGATTTTAACTTATCTCAAACAAATTTAGATTATCAATGTAATTTAACCAATAATGTATTATAATGAGTATTTAATCCTCATTATCTATCATCAATCAATCATTGTATTATTAAATAAAAATACGCACTTTAAAATTCTTGAGAAATTTTAATTTAATGAATTTGTATTTTTTTTGACAAATAAGGAGATTATTTTTTGTCTTTTATTATTGGTACTTATTTGATTAATTTAGATAAGAGGCAGACTAAAATATTTGTCATTTTCTTCATCATCATAACGGTTCGTTGGTATCAAAAGACTCAAAGATGACACAAACCGTTTTTTACAACTCCCAACTAGATAGAATTAGGGATGGATATGGTACGATATTAAAAATTTTAATTCGATAAATTTAATTTATGATTTTTAAAAATATTATATTATTATCATGTTAAATTATTTTAATATGATTCTACGTTTTAAAGTTCAATTTGATATTTTTATAATATAGTAAATAAATTATTATGATTTGATCAACTTCACGTCTTCAACTTATATACTTATGCAATAAAAAATATAATTTAAATTTTCAAAAAATGTCTCAATTAAGTATATACATATAAAAATATTACAAAAAAAAAAAGTACGATCAATTCTCTTTATTAACTAACTCAAAAAGAATGTTTAATCGCTTTGAAAACTAAAAAACGAAAGTAATATATAATAGTCAGACTAGTATATATAACAATAAAAAAGACTAATTGTTTAAATTTCGATCAATATTATTTAACATCAAATTATATAAAGCTTATGATTCATTAAAAAAAAATATGCATACATTAACTTGTATATTACTAAGCATTTCTTATATACTACTTTATTTTGATTTATACTATTATAACTAATACTAGAAACCATAGCATTAGTAATGTAAGGTGTTTTAAGGCATATATTCTAAACGTGATTCAAGACACAATTATCGCTTAAAAAATTTTCTATAGCTTTTCAATTTTCACAATATTCATGGTGATAAATAATTTTATCTCAAATAAGATCGATCATGACGATCTTACCTGATTAACCACTTATATATCCGAACTCCCACTTTCTCACTCCACCCCAACCTAATATCGCTGTGTATTTTTAGATAACGTATAAATACTCTTGACATAATATTTTTTTAACTAATTTTTTTCATAAAAAAGTACAAACAACCAATGAAATCCATAGTTCTCTCCCTTTGCTAGCACGACAAGTGGACAGATGCAATTACTATTATTCGCATCTTTTTCGACTTTCTCTCATCTCTCTTTCCTCCACCATTAATTATTATTTTTCTAATACCACTTGTATTTGAGTCTATCCATGCATATATATTTTTTTATTGTTTTTAAGCATTGAAAATGGTTATTCAAAATGTATTACCAAAAAAAAAAGAAAAAAATTGGTTTTAAGTTGGATAATTTTTTGAGAAAAAAAGAAAAAGATATTATATTCTTATAGTATATGCAATGATTAATTGTGAATCTAAATATTAGGATATGATAGTGTATTCACTAATAAAAATATTGGTATAAAATATCAATAAATTTATACATTTCATTTTATCTAATAATCAATTGTTAATCTAAAAAAAGTAAGTCAAAATCAATAACAACAATAATATGTTCATTGTATTTCTATACGGTGAGATTTGAAGTGAGTAGAAAGTACACAGAGTTCTCCTTTACCTTTTACAAATAGACCCTCGGCTCAAGATAAAATAAACTGAAAATATGTAATAAAAGTGCTAGAGACAACAGAATAATAAAATAAACTATAATCAAACTACATACATCGTGTCTTATTAAATTAAAATAAAAGGGGAAGTAAAAAAAATTAACCAAGATAATACACTCCTATTTACTAACCTTTTATCCTGATCCACGTCTTCAAACGCTTTTTTTTTGTTTAAACTCAAATCTTCACTAAGTTATAACTACAATATATCATATATCAAGTGAAGACAAAATAATCAAATTTAAATAAAAGGAATGTAAAAAAAAAAATTACTTTTTATTGTAAGATCTTAAAAACAAACTCTAAGCTATGATAGGGGCCTATATTCTTGGGATAAATATTTCCTAACTTTTTATTGTCCCAATATATGATATAGTATATGAGAATAAAATATATATAAAAAATTAGAATACATACACTTCATTCCTTACGTTTTGAGCCTCATAAAGAAATTTATGATATTTGGACCACTCTCAATTAGGGTCTCTCTAAGTAATCTTTTACGTAACCAAAAAAAAATAAAAAAAAAATAAAAAATAAAATACTATCATACTGTCGCCGTCCGATCTTCTTTCTCTCTCTACATCTCTCCGTTCAATCTCTCTCCTCCATCTTCTTCAACTGTAACCTCTCTTCCATTATCAGTGTCAAGTTGTTGAAGTTTTGGTCATGGTCATGGTGTAATTTGTTGTTAGTATTTTGAAGTATTTGTGTTTTTGATTTGGTTTTGGTTTTAATGGAGGAACGGAACTCAACGAGATTGAGTAGCTCAACAAACGATACAGTATGGGAGTGTGTGATTCCGTATATACAGGAATCGCGTGATAGAGACGCGGTATCGTTGGTATGTAAGAGGTGGTGGCAGATCGATGCGATTACTAGAAAGCATATAACTATGGCGTTGTGTTATACAGCGAAACCAGAGCAGTTATCTAGAAGGTTTCCACATCTTGAATCGGTTAAACTGAAAGGGAAACCAAGAGCTGCTATGTTTAATTTGATACCGGAAGATTGGGGAGGATATGTTACACCTTGGGTTATGGAGATAACTAAGTCGTTTAGTAAATTGAAAGCACTTCATTTTCGTAGAATGATTGTTAGAGATTCGGATCTCGAATTACTTGCGAATCGTCGTGGAAGAGTTCTTCAAGTTTTGAAGCTGGATAAGTGTTCTGGATTTTCTACTGATGGTCTTCTGCATATTTCTCGTTCCTGCAAGTATGTATTTATTTCTATTGCAAGTTTTAGCTCTTTTCAGTTTCGTTTTTTTTTTGAGTTTCATATTGTTATTCACTTTAATTAGCTTATTGTCTATGATAATTTTCTGAATTAAAGATCCCTAAGGGATGATTGATTGTTTGAGCCACATGAGGTCTGAGTTCTTGTTGGATGGTCCAGGACTTTTACTGACGGCTTCAAAAATTATGGGGGTCATACTATAGCATTTATTGAAACTTTGGTGATATTTTAAGCGCCATATCGGAATTTTTGACTTATATAGCTTGTTAACTACATTTTCCCCTGCTTAGTATAAGCTCATTTGCTATGTTAACGTGGCAGCTGTGCTACTGGGCTGCAGTAGGTTCAAAAGCTATCATTTTTATCAAAAGAAAAGAAAAGAACTGAAGCTATCCTGTATTATCCATTTCTTTGAGACGTGTCTTGAACTTATTGCTTCTATTTCTAAAAAAAAAGGTGTTATGTTTTCTGAGATTTCATTGCTATGCAGTGCTCTATTACTGTGGCTTAAAAAATTTATATTGTCATGTTTGCTTTTAACTATTGTAGTTTTGAATGTTTGTGGCGGTTTGAGTTGTCAAGGCTATTGGTAATTCTAGTGAAATTTCTTCTCATTCTGATTTGTTCGATTTTTTTTTCTTGGGGGGTGTAGATTACCACATAAGTTTGAGGTTTATTGTTTCCCCTCATGAGCAAGTATTTGGGATTGAGCTTGACCTAAGATCCTTTTTACATAAACTTTCACTGTTGGTTGCACATTATATTTAATGGAGACATTTGGCCAACAACTTGGGTGATTCTGACAATTGTATGAGGTATAGCATAACTTGTTTCAACAGTTTTTTTTCTTGATATTCATGAGTACTAATGCTTTTATAATTTGCAAGTATTGATTGAGGCAATATGTGGATTTGATGGATGTCATCTTCCTCCTTTTAGTGGAAATTATTTTCCTCGGAGAAACATTTTCTATAATTTAATAATCTAATGAAAATGTTTCCACACCGTGTTCTTTTGAAGTGGAGACGATATGTTGAGACTAAGTGCCCGTTTGGATTAAGCTTATTTTTAGGTGTTTTTGATTTTTAAGCATTTTTTTTTTAATTTTGAAGGTGTTTGGAAAGGTTAGACAGTATTTTTAAGCTCTTACTTTTAGGCTAAAAAAGTTTAAACATAAGCCAAAAGTAGAGTATCATCATCTACTAATGACTTTGCTTTGGACTTATACGTTGCTTGTTATATGCCCATCCAAACAGGACCTAAAAGTACAGTTACTATCCCCTTTTGGGCAAAGATTTTTTTTTCCAGGGAACAGTTTTTTGTTCAAGGTACCAATGTTGAGAATGTTTCGGAAAAATATTTTCCACTGCCAAAAATTCAGGGATTTGTAGTTGACAAAAAGCTATTGATATACACAGTGCAGCAACTAAGTCCTATTCTTTTCTTGATCCCCCTTGCAGTTAATGTTTTATACGTTGCCTAGAGCTATGCAACTCAAGTAATTGTTTTGAGGTTGAGAGTAACTGTTAGGTGATGGACTCCATGGTTTACGAATATCTGATTCCTAAAATTGTGTCAGTAGAAGAAATGGTTTCTTCATCTGTCTATAAGCATTAGTGAAGATCAGAGTATCCTAGAGCTGTAGATTTGTGTTTTATGAGAGGTACTTATTTAACTTCACTGTCAGAGCAGCTGCATAAATAAGAGTATGAGCACATGTCTAACAAAAAAAATCTGCTCTCTCTAGAATAGACACACTTGATCATGCAGTTTTTGTCATAAATCATGTGTATGTTGTATTTAATTGGAATATTAGCACTCTTTAAGGTGGAGAACAAGTGTCTAGTCCTTAATCTCTTGTCCCAAATCAATCAACTATCAGATATTTTTATGTATTTAATCCTGTGGCTTTTAAATTTAATCAATTGATACCGTTTTGGTTTATTAACCTGTATTCTTATAATCATGAAATTCTCGAGGGTTAATGGCGCACAGTCTGAAACCCTGTGGATAATGAGCCTGCCCTTTAATTCTTCTCCAGTTAAATACTAAGCTTTTGTCTACGCTAGGGCTCAAACCCAGGACATGCACCTAAACCACACAACTAGCGCTGCACTTTTACCATTAGACCAAAGCCCCGTAGACAATCCATTTGGTTTTAGTTTATAAGGTGCCTACTACTAGTGTCTAAGCCGTTTGTCCATGAATGATTTTTCACTTTAATTCAAAATCCGTGTAGAGGTTAGAAAATTCCAAATCCAACTTGTAGTTAGATTCCATACTTAAAGGTGCTCCAAACCTGTTTTCCAATTCAATCCTTATAAGTTCCAAATAAAGTGGAAAACATTTGGAATCCATGGCCATGCCTACTTAAATTTCAACCATTACAGTCAACATATCACTCTAAGAATTTGTGAAATTGATCATTAGAGTCTACTTAGCTCACCTAAAGTAGGACACAAGGGGTACTAAGCATGTTATCCTCTAACGGATAGACGTGTACACGTGTTCACTAGATGTCAGCTTGTAAGGTGGAGACAACTGGTAATTATTAAATATGGTTGGAGACAACTGGTCAGATGTCACAGGTCATGCTGAAAGGTAAAGCTGATGAATGTGAAAAAAGTTGCCTGTTTTTGTCTTGTAGGATGGTCAAGTGATCTCAATGTTATTCTGGTGAAGCTGTAGGCCTAACTTAATTAATTGTCCTATGGTGACTTTGCCATTACCATTGCAGTGTAGTGTGTGATGAACCTATATTATTGTTTAGTTGATTGGAAGTTTGTCTTGATAATTGAGCTTGATTGATGTTGAAGTTGTTACGCTGAACAATTTCTTATATGGGAATCATATCACATGATAGGGTCTGAAAAAGTCAATTCTTCTGTGCATTATTTATAATATGTTAGACATTTTTTAATCATTTGCACAACTTGCTATGTTTTTGTGTTTTACTAAGTTATCTTTTTTGGGAAGTTTTAATACAATTGAGTAGTCGATTGAATTCTGTTGCCTGTTTTGTCTCAATGGGTTCTCATGTAGTCTGTGTCCTGCAGGAACTTAAGAACTTTGTTAATGGAAGAGAGTTATATAATTGAGAAAGATGGAGAATGGGCACATGAACTAGCATTGAACAACACTGTTCTTGAGAATTTGAACTTTTACATGACAGATCTTCTGCAAGTTAGGGCTGAAGATCTTGAATTGATAGCAAGAAATTGTAAATCTCTAGTCTCTATGAAAATTAGCGAGTGTGAAATTACGAATCTTCTTGGCTTCTTTAGAGCTGCGGCTGCATTGGAGGAGTTTGGTGGTGGCGCATTTAATGACCAACCAGAACTTGTTGTTGAAAATGGCTATAATGAGCATTCCGGAAAATATGCCGCACTAGTCTTCCCTCCAAGATTATGTCAATTGGGCTTGACATACTTAGGGAGAAATGAGATGTCCATTCTCTTTCCTATTGCGTCTCGTCTGAGGAAATTGGATCTTCTTTATGCACTTCTTGACACAGCAGCCCACTGTTTCTTACTGCAAAGGTGTCCCAACTTGGAAATTCTTGAGGTTAAGTCTCGGAAGCTTTTCTCACCCTCTTTTCTTTATGCCAATATCAATTTTATATTTAACGGGCTCACTTATATTGGTGCATAACACCAACACTCACACTGATTTTGTTGTGATTGCACCACTTTGATATCAGAAATTTAGGGTTAATGAAATTTACAGTTAGAAGTCCCACATCAGTGTTGGGATGGGTAATTTCTTTATCATAGTGTCAGAGCCAAGCCCATCCCAATTCTTTGTTCACCGCTGTTGGACCCCCATATTATAGAGTCCATGCTCCAGTTAACTAGGTCTGGACATGCTTGGGAGTGTTAGAAGTCCCACATCAAGTAGTTGGATAGGTAATTTGTCTGGGCAATTCTCCCCCGAGTTAGCTTTTGCGGATGAGTCAGGCTCAATTTCCATTTCTTATCATTCATTAACAAAAAAATATTTTTCTGTGGAACATGTGTCAAAGTTTTTATGCTTGGCAAGCTGTATTTTTAAACCTTGTATAATTTGATATATACCCTAACTTGATACTTCAACGCATCACATGGCTGTTTCTATAGAGAGCATTCTCTCCATCTGAATGATACCACTCCAGAATTTGGAGTGAAAAGAAGACTAGTAGATGAGTGGAAAAGATTTCTCTGAAGTTTATAACCTAATTCAGTTTTCTTTCTGTTATCATGTTTGAAACAGACTAGGAATGTTGTTGGGGATAGAGGATTGGAAGTGCTTGGCCAGTACTGTAAGAGGTTAAAGCGGCTCAGGATTGAGAGAGGAGCTGATGATCAGGAGATGGAGGATGAAGAAGGTGCGGTTACACACAGAGGATTGATTGATTTGGCAAAGGGATGTCTTGAACTAGAATACATGGCTGTTTATGTGTCAGATATTACTAATGAAGCTTTGGAAGTTATTGGTACATATCTGAAAAATCTGAGTGATTTTCGGCTGGTTTTGCTTGACAGAGAAGAAAGAATAACAGATCTGCCACTTGATAATGGTGTGCGTGCTTTACTAAGAGGTTGCCATAATCTTAGAAGATTTGCCCTCTATGTCCGGCCTGGGGGCCTTACTGATGTAGGTCTCAGTTATGTCGGGCAATACAGCCCAAACGTGAGATGGATGCTTCTGGGATACGTTGGGGAATCCGATCATGGCCTTCTGGAGTTCTCTAAAGGATGTCCGAGCCTGCAAAAGCTAGAAGTGAGAGGCTGCTGTTTCAGTGAACGTGCATTAGCCTTGGCTACCTTGCAGCTAAAATCGTTAAGGTATCTATGGGTACAAGGATACAGGGCATCTTCAGCTGGTCGTGATCTCTTAGCGATGGCTCGCCCATTCTGGAATATTGAATTGATTCCTGCAAGACGAGTTATTGCCAACGATGGAAATAATGCAGAAACTGTAGTCTCGGAGCATCCAGCCCATATACTTGCCTACTATTCTCTTGCCGGACAAAGAACAGATTTTCCAGACACTGTCAAGCCTTTGGACCCAACTTACCTTCTCGCTGAATAGGTTTGTAAATATAACTTTTCCTTGAGTGAAGTTGTTCGAGGTCTATTTGCTTCCTTTTTAGGTGTCTTGTCCATATGTATGCCTCTTCTTTTCCTCCCCTTTTTCCTTGATGAGAGTTTTTTTTCCACATTGATTTTGATCTTCTCTTTTAGACATGCATTCTGTAATAAATTTGCTTTCCTTGGGTTATCTGTAATCTAACATTTGGTGATCTACGTTCCTAATCCCCCCTGATCTCATCTTCTTCTGTGCTTTGGGTTAAACTAAACATTTGGTCTTCACTTGTTCGATTTTAAGGTAGGGGTAAGGTCTACCTCCCGGGACCCCTCTTGAGGGATTACACTCGGCATTGTTGTTGTTGTTGTTGTTCGATTTTATAAGGCTAGCCTATGATAAATGATGAAGGCATTAAGTTTTTTCACAAGTGGAGATAGAATCAAGTGTTCTTATTACAAGTGTTTTACTGTTTTTTCTCTATTTGACTGAGCACTGCATAGAGAAGGAAAATATTTGTGTCTTCTAATATGATTTTCACTTGAGTAGACTTTGTCAGCCCCTCTACCTCTCAAAGCAGTTAGGTGTACGAACACACTACTCTATCCCGATCTATATTGTGGGACTATACTGACTATGATAATGTTGACTACTCTTCGTCTAAAAGGGAGGAGGTGAATCTTGGTTATGAGTGATGCCTTGTTACCTTAAAAAACGTTAGAATTTAGAAAAGGAAAAATTACCTAAATACACATCTTATTTTACCATAATCCTTAAACTCTAGCCCATGTAAGCATCAGAACATGCATTCTCGCGATCTATACAGTCCTTATGGCTTGCTCCCGAAAAGAATAATCAAGCAAAACCTTCTTCTTCAGAACATACATTTCATTCTTTGCTTCCTCTCGCTACTACATCCTTTCCCCCTCGTTGATACATCTTTTCCCTATATATCTAGATGTCTTATCCCCTCTTGGATACATCCCTCCCTCGTGTATTTAGAGTAAAGTGATGTACACGAAATACATAAATTATAGGGGACTTTTGTAACTTAAAAAAAAGGACGAAAATAATGTAATTAACTCTCAGCCTTATGAGAGTTTTGTAATTTGAAAAAGATTAGGGAAATAATGTAATTGGTTCTTAACACTACGATATTTTCGTAATTTAAAAAAAGAGTAGGAAAATGATGTAATTAGCTCTTAAAATTTAAGAATTTCGAATATATCACTCAACATGTTGATACATCGCGTTTTGATTTTGGATACATCACTCAACGTCTCGGTACATTGCATCTCAGTTTCAGATACATCATTCAATGTTCCAATACATCTCATCCTGGTTTTGTATACATCAGTCAATGTCTGATACATCTCGTCCTGATACATTATCTTTGTTGATACTGATACACTTATCACAATGTATCACTTCATATCCCGATAGATCACATTTCAATACATTACCTTTCTTGATACAAGAAACACTGATACCATTGCGTACGAGTGATATATCCAAGAATAGGACAGAGTAGAGATTTTTATAAAAAAATTTCAAATGGTAGAAAATTTTAAAAAATATGGTAAAATACGTTGTATATTTAGGTAAATTTTCCTTAAAAGTATGCCCACATGAATATGCCTACCATTTGTGTAACAATATATATATATATACATATATTTATTTATTTATTTTTATAACGAGGATTATATCATTTCTAAATAACAAAATTAAGAGATATATCAAACCTTTTCGGGTATATACTATTTGAGTTAGGGAGGAATCTCAAATAAGTGGAATGCAGACTCAGCAATATTGTAAGCACCAACCTGGAAATAGGTAAGCAAATGAAATGAGAATTAAAAAATCAGACAACTTGGCCAAATTGAATGTATTTTTCCTTTTTATCAAATTCCCCTCATCTCAATCCAAAAAAAAATAAAAAGGAAAAAAAAACAAAAATTGAGAAAAAGAAGAACAAGAAAAGGAACCACCTCCCAATCAGATTTTTCAAATAGTGCTAAATGACACAACCCTAAATAAGCTAAATCTTGTCAGATAATAATTTATGTATATCGATTAGAAAAAAGTAATACATATGTACTTCATATATAATATATGTATATATAGTAAATAGTAAATTTGATTGTTTTATTCGATATATTAAAGCTGAACTCTTTTAAAAAAATAAAAAATAACGCTTGGTGCATATATGTAGAAACGAAACAAGGTTGTTAATAATCTTACATCATTTATAGAATGATCAATTGATCTCTTTATATAATTATGCAGTTTTAATTTCATAAATTAATTTTTGAAATTGAGTTAGAACACGAAAATACTTCCCTAACAAAGGTTCACTTTTCCTTTATGTAAAAGGAAAATACTATGCACTAAGCCACTAATATAAAAGTGGTACACCTATTGGCTATGTATGAAAAAATCCTTGGGAGTTGGGCCCAAGTACACTAGTTCACTAATGGAATGCAAGAGAGACATCATCTATTCTTGATAAGATGAAACAATACATACAATAATATAGATAAACAACGTAATTTCATAAGTGAAATCTGAAGAAGATAGAGAGACGGTTTTTAATAGATATTTATTAAAAATCAAGTATGTTAATGTAATTACCTCTAAGACAATTTTTGATAGACTCTTATAAAAAATCAAGTATGTTAAAGCAAATATAGTAGCAAAGAAGGTATATTGAAAACAATTGAAACGAGAACAATTACAACAACAAACAATAAAATAAGGATAAAAGAAAGGATAAATTCACGAAAATTTGATTGAAGATTTAAATGTGTGAAGTTTGAAAGCACAACAAAGAAACTAGGCATATAGCAAACTAATTAAACCCTTGATTTACATTAATACACTAAGATTGAAAACAAAATCCAAGATTGAGGTGAGAATAGCAACATTAGTTCAACATCCTCCAACGAACAATAGAGGGCTCTGATCTGACCACAATCAATCAGTCTATTTGTTCTGGTTCTTGAGTTGTCACACAAATTGACCAAATGCCATTAGGTCTTCATCGATCGAGTTGTTCCAACAGCCGATTAGTAAGTCTGTTGTGCTTGTTGAGGACATATACAACCTCTCTTCACACATGGATTTTTTGTCGTCGTTGTTGTTATTATTGAGAAACTCATCGTTTGTGAGATGAACGGTGGTGATATCGTGAATACTAGGTCTCTTCCTCTCTTTCTCCCTTGAAAGTTGCCTCAAATAGTACTTCTGAGCATGACTAGCCACTTGTGTTGGAGTTTTAGAGATCACGAAATTCCTCGATATGTTTCTCCAATCTCCTTTACCATATTTCTCTAACCCCATAAGAAATCGCCTATAATGCAACAACAACACTACTAATGTTAACATCAAGAATCAACTCAGATGATAAATAGAAAATGCATATATTGATATCTTCCAAAATATCAATACGTGCATGTCAGATTTCTTTACAACTGTGACATCATTTCTAGGAGTTCGAGCAACATAACTGACTACTACTAAAAAAAAGCAAGAATACTTATGAATTGTATGAATTACCTATGTTCTTCCTCTGTCCATGGTACGCCTTTCTTTCTTTCGTGATCATAAGACTTGCCTCTCTTATTAAACGTTTGAATGTTACGATGATCAACAAATTCCAACGCAAAAGAAGACGTATAACCACGCCTCGTATTTGGGAGCAATCCAGCCTCTATGTTACTAACATCTGCAACCAATTCTTTATACTGCATTATCACATCAAGAACTGATTTCCCAGGGATAATTTCTGCTACTTTAAACCATCGATTTGGTGTAGTCTCGTCGTATATTGCAAGTGCACTTTCAAATCTCTTGTTCTCTTCTTTAGTCCATTCTGTATTACTCTTACTCTGTTGCATAATCCAATTTGAATTTGGTACAAAACAAGTTGGATATAAAGTTTCCATATCCAAATCAAGAATCCTCAATTTTCTTCAAACTTCAAAAACTAATAATCTTCCTGTCAATTTTACAATGATTTAGTGGATTTTCATAAAGCCAAAAGCAAAAATTAAGTAAAATATTTAATTTTTTTCTCACCCCGAGCAGGGGAAGGAGATTACAAAATGGGAAATCGAACTCTCATTAATAAGCTAAAAGTTCAGATAATCAACCAATTGAGCTACTAAAGTTCAGATAGTCAACCAACAGAACTATTCAAGTTCAGATAGTCAAATTGAGCTAAGTTCAGATAATCAATCAACTGAGCTACTAAAGTTCAGATAGTCAAACCAACATAACTATTCAAGTTCAGATAGTCAAACTGAGCTAAGTTCAGATAATCAATCAACTGAGCTACTAAAGTTCAGATACTCAATCAATTGAGCTATTAAAGTTCAAATAGTCAACCAACTGAACTACTAAGATCTCTAGCAAAAAGATCACTTTGTTCTTGATAGTATTTTACTTACTCGGTAGATAGGAACATACTCTGGATCAGAATCGCGACGAGTACTTCTTGATCAACTCTATAAACCTACAAGCAGCAAGTAAAGAGAAAAAAAGATTACAAATTAAACAAAAATAACACAGATCAAACAAAAAGGTTCCAATTATTGGCCAAAATAGTAAGAAAAATTTCCAAGAAATGAAGGTAAAAACTAATATCAAATTTTCTATTTTAATTTTTTTTAAAAAAACAAAAAAACAGGGGAAACAAACCTTAACTGAACAATAGACAATGATTGAATGAATTAAGACCATATAGATAACTTAATACAATATAATAATAACATACCGTGTAATCTCACACGTCGAATATGATGATAATAATGTTTACGAAGATCTTATTTCTCTAAATAAAAAGACTATTTCCGATAAACTCTTAAATAGTCGAACTTAGAATCATAGAAAGAAAGTTCTATCTGTTTAATTTTCAATCTTTCTAGATGTATAGGAGTATATATATATATATATATATTTTTTATTTTTTGAAAGAAAAGGAGAGTTGAGCAATATATATAATAATTAAAAAAAAGGTGATGCCGAGTTGTCAATTAATGATTGGTTAAGAATTTATTTTATTTAATTAATATACATGTTACATGTT